CCTTATCGTGGGTTCCCGCGTGGTACGCACAGCGCCGGCGATGTATATTATTAGTTGATGTCTAATAATAAAATGTATATTATTAGTTGATGTCTAATAATAAAAATAATTTTTAAAAAAATGGGGGATGGTCATAAAAAAGTCCAATATGAGCCACCCCCTCCAAAAAAAAATTCCCCTACATGTCTGGGGATTCTGGGGCAATATACGCCGTCCCGGCTATCTACAAACTATATATCTAAAAAGATACGTTAACCTTGAAATTATAAAATTATGGTAAAAGTATTTGTAGCTGAAGCCATAAAACTGCGTTCAAAATATTTAGATTTCAGCATTGAATAACCCATAGAGGTGTTTATATGCCACTAAACAAAATCAACCAAACAGCGTAAACTATACCGAACTCCTTTGCCATAAAAAGTAAGCTTTTATCACTTTCTCGATTGTATAAGATATGATACCTGTTATCTGATTCTCAAAAATGACTCCATTTGAATATTTGAATTGTTTAATTGGAAATTTTCCTGTCTTAATCTTTTACAAATAATCATTTTTCTTTTCTCACAATTCCATATCATAAAACTGTTTCTGGCACAAAAATGATTCTCTTTCTGAATTAACATTTTTTTTGTCTGTATTTCCAACCTATGGGTATTATCTTCGCCGTATTTTGCCAAACATGATACTCTGGGTGGGAAGGTGTAGAAGGTTGCCTTTTGAAACTATGGCATGATGACCGTTAATACCCACGAGAAAAAAAACCCTGATAACATAATAAAATAAACATATTTATAAAGTTATTTATTTGTAAATTAATTCATTTCTTTGGGACAAATTCATCGATCACTTCAACTTATAGAAAGTATTAGCACCACCCTTTTAACTTCATCTTTAAAAAGATACACCTAACACCACCGCTACCTTAGTTCTTTTCTCGCTCCCTCATTTTTTTTTAATTCATTTCTTCCAAGTTCTCTGTATCGTCGCGAGAGTGGTACCCGGAAGTAGAGGCCGTCTCTGCTTACACTATTCTTTCACTATTTAGCCGAAGGGCGAAAAAATTATCACTAGTACAAGAAGGGTCGTGGAAATTACAGTAATTATCATAAAAAGGATTATTTATCCTCGAAAAAATGCCTTGTCTTCCTGAACACTTCACCAATGTTGGCAACTAATATGCAGGGTGAGACAAAAGTTGCGCACCATAGAGATAATGTATTTAAAGTATAATAAACACATTAAAATTTTATTTACTGATTATTTAATTGTTATATGTGCTGTTCAAAATGTCTTTTAAAAAGAAAACATTTCAATTCTGTGCTTGCACGATTCATTAATAAGTCGGAGAGTTTCCTCTGTCACTTAACTGAATTCAATTCTTTAAATTCTTCACTATTTGATAGTTTTTCAGCCATTTTACTTTGTCAAAATTGTTTCTGTAAAATAAGAAAATATCGAAACAATTTAGACATTTGAAACCTATTTAATTAACACCTATAATGCTCGACTTTCGTCTCACCCTGTGTGTGTATATATATATATATATATATATATATACAGGTCGATAGACAAAAAGAGCACCGTTAAAAAAACGAGGCGTTCTACTTAAATACGGACACCCACTCAAAATAACGTTTGAAGTAATAAAATGTCAAATTAAAAGAAAAATCTATTGTTTAGAAATATGTGTGTGTGTTATTATTACAGATTTTACAAGTAGATGAATATTATAATAGTATGAATAGCATTGATCTAATTGAGTTTAGTTTCTTATGGCACAAAAGCAAAATAAGAGTCGGAAGTGTTACGTCATACTTCCAGGTGGGGAAACTCCAGCCTGTCAAAAAAAACCTGGCATCCTGGCATCTACCTGAACATAAACACGGATTGCGCTAACTACCAGTAGCAATTTGCAACTGCCTTGGCCATGAAACAAGCGTAATGCTCCTACTGATGTTTTCGCTGTTCAGATTTTTTTTTCAGTTGCCCGATCTCTCAGTCAAAATAGACTTTGACACACGTTTCCCTAATAATCCTAACCAACATGCCTATTTACTCGATTTGTTCATTGCCTCTCCTCTTTACTCTGTCCTCTTGGCAATTCGGATCATGCGGTAGAGTCTGTTGATATTTCCTTTGAATCAGCTATTAGACACGAACACGCTATTTACAAGACTTTATTCTGTTAATAGCGTGCCGATACGGATTCTTTTCGCGATTTTTTTTTTTTTTTTTTTTTTTTTTTTTTGCCATATCCCTTGGAGTGAAATCATTAAATTTGCAATTGAAAATTGTAACTCTGAAGTTTCTTCTCTGGTGAAAACCGACACCGATGCGTTTTTGCCATCTCGTAAATACTGGATAAAAACCATATTTTTCTTGATTTACAACTGCCTTTACCGCCGCTCTAACCGACAGGAATCACCTTTTCCTTGTTTATACCAACACGACAGCTCTTATCACAACAGACACCTCTCTCTGTCCGATTGTAATAGTTGCAAATGTGTATCCAATGGGGCTAAGTTGTCGCTCGGTGAAAGGGTGAGGCACCGTATAGCTTCTCAAATTGTTTCTCGTAATTACTAGCGACATTGTAATAGTGTGATATATAAGGAAATCGATGCTAACCCGGCAATTGTTCTTAGAAAATGTAATCCTGAGCTGGTAACTGTTCTCTCCAAACTCTACAATAGATACCTTGTTATTTCTGGCTTCTAACTTGTTGGAACTTCTCTTCTGTATTGCCTACTTTAAGAACTCTGAACTGTCTGATCATTCCAACTATCAGTCTATTAGTCTTCCACATATTTTTTTGGCAAAGCACTAGAGGCCCTAATGAACTATTTGGTTAAGCATCTCACTTCGCAAGATCTTCTTTCAGTCAAAAAATATGGTTTTCGCTTCTCTAGGTCAACCTCCGATGTGGCGACGGTTATTGCTGACTCTTTCAAGCTTTAGTTGAGAATGACCACGCTCGGGCTGTTGACTTAGATATCTCGAAGGCGCTTGATATTGTTTGGTATGCTGATCTGGAGGGTTATGGGCTTTCTGGTATATTTTCATTTGATTCGCCCTATCCTATCAAATCGCATAATGAAAGTTCTCTTGAATGGCCACTCTTCTAAATCATTTTATATTGCTGGTGTCTCCAAGGGCTATATCCTTGAAACTACATTGTTCCATATTTTCATCAACGACTTTCCCGATGTCCTCAATTCCCGACTTTCTATCTACGCTGATAACACAACTATTTACTCCTCTCTTAATAGTAGGTCTGACAGATTCGGTAACATCAAATTGGCAGCTGAACTCGAAAATGACAGTCTGTTGTTGATTTGGGACAAAAAGTAGCTTGTTAATTTCAACGCCTATCTTGGAAAAATTTTTTTGCCTCACATCGACATGGCTGATGCTAACCACCTGGAGCGCAATAAATTGCGCCTTCTCGATCTCGTGTTTTCTACTGGCATGAAGTAGGACGACTATATTGAATTATTTCTTAAATTGTGTCCTAATATACTTTTTTCCCTCCCAGAATCCATCTTTATAAGTCTACCAGTGGTCCGTACTTGGAATATTGCTACCAAATCTGATCTGGTGCATTTGCTATATATCTAGAGATTCTTGACAAAATTCAAAGAATCTGAAACGTTATAGGTACTGACCTTGCATCTCAGCATCATTTTTCCCACCATTGTAACGTGGCTTCCTCTGTCTTTCAAGACTATTTTCCTGGTATTTGTTCTGATGATCTTTCACCTTTGGTGTCTCGACTGCACAAATCATTTCATTGCTGAAATTGCTAAATGTAGTGGTAAACTATTTGCTAACACTTACTTTTTGATTATGGAACTCTCTTTCGGCTTCTTTCTTTCAAGTCAAGCTACGTAATTAAAAAAATTTAAACGCAACGTCAATCGTCATCTATTTCCTTGAATATTGTTCTTTTGTTGTCCGCTCTAGTTCTTTCACTCTTAGTAACCCCTTTCGTCTTGGCGTCTATTATTGCCTTTCGTCTTGGCGTCTATTATTGCCTTTCGTCTTGGCGTCTATTATTGCCTTTCGTCTTGGCGTCTATTATTGCCTTTCGTCTTGGCGTCTATTATTGCCTTTCGTCTTGGCGTCTATTATTGCCTTTCGTCTTGGCGTCTATTATTGCCCTGTTTTGAGAAAAATGATTAATAAAGTATAAAATGTACCATAAAAAGAAAAACAAACTGAAATAGTAATACGGGGAGATGCTGAAATTCTACCTGAAATTCGCCCACTTCCAAAAACATTAATTTTATTTTCATTATATTTAATAGCTTCTTAGTCGAGCTGTGTACTTGTTTATCCTGGTATAAATTAGAAAATACAAATTGAGTATATTTAGAGCGTTTCTGCACAGGTTTAGTAATGTTGCTTTTCAATGAATTACTCTTTGAATTAAAATAAAAGTTGATACCGCTGTGCCCAACACCCAATGCATGATAGGTGGTGGTTAGAGGCCTGAAATTGCAGAAATTTGTTACCCCAAATTTGTACTTCTATTGAAAAAATATTTTTTCTTCTGCAAACATGCCTCTGCTATAGTGACCTCAACTTAAGAGCAGTCCCTCAGTTATGGGTTAAATAGTAGGACTTGTATCTGGAAAAATCATTATTCTAAAATAAATTATTAATGCAATATTCACTTGAAAAAAAAATATTCCAATCAAAAATATTTAATCGGTTTTAAATAACACCCACAAAGTTTGATGAGCCATATAAAACGAATCCATCAATCAATCAAATCCCATCACCAACAACCACTCAATTTTATTTCAAAATTATTTTTACGACTATTTGACAAATCTATTCATGGGCATCATGTTTTCAATGTGTCATTAAAAAAACAAAATGGCTATATTAATTTTCATAAAAACACATAAATATCCATAAGTGCTGAAAGAGTCCAATAAAATTTCCAACAACAGAGATGCAGTCTACCAAATTACATTTCATCACGAGAAAGCCTACAGTCAAATCATGCTGAAAAGACACTGGTTCTTATTCGATCACTGAAGTTAAGCAGTGTTGAGTCTGGTCAGTACTTAGATGGGAGACCGCTCGGAAACACCGGGACCTGTAAGTAAGCCGCCTACGATCCGAAATATGTTTTGGCTTTAATTAACCCACAAAAGGTTGATAAATGATCAAATTATATCAGTCAGTCAATCAATCAGCGGAATTAATTTGGAATTACTTATCCTCGACTCAAGAAAGATATGTACTGTTGTTAGATACTTTATTGGACAACATGCTTACCAGCCTTCTGGATTTGGGTCTGCTCGGGAATGCATCGACAGTATGTTTACAAAAGAATTCATTTGAATATTGCCTTATTCACTAGGTCAATAAATCACAGCGTAAAGTTTATTTGTTTAAGGTGTATTATTATAGTTTCAACAAAGTACTAACCAGTATATTATGGGATGCCTTGATATGCAATAATGGCATAGAGAGTAACTGGCACAGATTCAAAAGAATACGTATGTATATATCTGTCTAGCAAATTTCTGTCAAGTACATAAAACAAAGAAAAAGAGCTCTTTTGATCCTATACAAATCGATAGATTGAAAAGGACGGGGAGACTAAAATACAAGCATAAGTGACAGGTTCGACTACTGTTTAAATTCTCTTTGAAGCCTTCCATCTTATGATCATCATAGATGCCAAGGCTCACTATGAATATGAGCTTGTTGATAGCCTTACAGATAACCACAAAAGATTCTGGTATTATACTAGGCACTTTTCGTGCAAAGGTTGAGTCGTTGAACTCCACTATTATATCCGTTTTGACAAAGGAACCGCCTATAGATGAATTGGTATTACCTCGAAACGATTTAAATAAATAAAAAAAAAACACTCCCCCGTCACATTAACATTGACTCACGCCTAGCAGAAACTAAATTTTAAAATTGAAAGCGAACAAAACATCCGATCCTGATTCATTGTGAATGTATTATCACAGTGTCCTAACTTTGATGTTTCCCTGTTCGCTTTGTTCAACCAATCAACCCAACGTGACACGTATTTCCCTTGCACAAGAAGTTCTCTCCGGCCTACAAAGATAACTGCAGACTAGTTTCCCTTGCATGTCAAGTTGTCAACCTGCTTGAACGCATCATCCAAAATAAATTTTACGCCTCATGTCGACGGAACTATAAGTTACCACCAGTCCAAATTTAGCTGTATTGGACAACTGTTGGAACTTTTCGAAAACTGGAATGTGAAATAAGATAACTCGATGGAAACTGATGTGATCTACTTAGACTTTGCCAAAGTTTTTGATGTAGTGCCTCATCAAAACTTCTGTTCAATTGTAAGTGGGTATTCGTGGCAAAGTTCTAAGTTGGATCAAATTATTCTTCCTTTTCGCGAAAACAGATTTTCTGCAAGAGTTTTATCCTTCTTGGCAAGAAGTCATTATTGTTGCCACAAAAAGTTCCATTTTGGGACGAATTCTGTTCTTGATCTGTGCAAACGACATCCTTGAATGGCTATTATAAAATGGAAATGAACAACATCTTAATCAGGAGGATGTGTTGTCACTCACACAAGTTGATGAAACTACTCGTAAACTGTAGCTAAAACTTATTTGCCCTTAATGTGATAGAAAAGTGGGAGATTTTTATTTAATATTGTGAAGGCCCTGACGCTGTTCATTTAAAAAAATAAACTAGGTATCGTGTTCAAGTGGCCTAAATGACAGTCGAATAATCTTAAAATTCTATCTTCCTAATATTGAAGACAAAATGTTTGAAAATTAACGTGACGTGTTATAGAAAAAGATTAACTTCTTGTTTTTTAAGAATTTTCATATAATTTGCAGTCATTGTTTTGGTTCGTCCTTCTTTCTGTTAAAGTAAATTATTTGTTTTATTAAAATCCGTCAAGCTCTTATCTGATGTTACTTGTACCTTAAAATGTTTTACTATCAGTATCCCCTAGTATCTGCCCGCCTTGGGTATGACGATAAACTACATCTGCATCCTGGCTAAGACGATAAACTACGTCCAACAGCAAGGACTCTGATCAGGGGGTTTTCAGGAGCGTGGAACCACCTCTTAATTGTTGGTGTTCCCAGGTCCACCCTGACCAAGGGTGGTAGAACCTGTTAGGGTCCCAGATATGGGGAAATAGTTAACCCCGAAACTGGGGTAAAAACATTATGAAAATGTAAAAACAGGTTTTAATATCAGAAATACTTTTAAAAAAATTATTTCCAGCAATAAATTTTTGAAGAAAAACTATTACCAGCTATACATTTTTGACGAAAAAAATATTACCAGCAATAGTTTTTTGAAAAAATTATTACCAGCAACATATTTTTGAAAAAAAGAATTATTACCAGAAACAGATTTTTGACAAAAATAATTTAGGAAATTTTAAAAAAATAATCATCAAAATATACAAGTAAATAAATTTAAAAAAATGATGAAAAATGAATAAAATGATGAATAATGATAAAAAAAATAATACATACAACCATCTAAACTCTATTCATTCTTTTATAAACTATTCCTTGCCTGCAAAAAAGTCTAAAATATACGAGATGACTCCTAATTAAACATAACTCTTTTCAAATATTAAAACCTGTCATTCCTGATAAAATCACTGTTATTTGAAGATTTTGTGTTTGTATTAATAATTATAATTTTAATTATAGATTGCAAATAAAAAATATTCGTGTATTTATAAAACTGACTAATATTTCGAGAAGAAACCGAATCGAAACACGTCATTGATCAAATCTGCTTCAACATGTATTTTTCTTCATACAGAACCGCCCCACTTCAAAGTCGTTCATATCTCATTTAACCTATATGTTATACCTCTTCGCTTTCTTCAACGAGGAAAGCAGTATTTATCTTCAGTCAATGTATCAATTAGGAGATCACTTACTTGGTTCCGTTGGGGTTTGAACCCGAAACTCAATGGTAGGACTGCTCAATCAATCATTCCTCGGCAACATACAAGGATAATGTAAACCTGTGGACTTTAAGCATCTATTGTGAGGTAAGCGCAATGAATTCTGCTTCGAGATAGCGGAAGTGTCCTCAGCGGTCTTTCTTGATGACATCAGTTGAAGCGTTAATATGTTCGAATATCTTTCAAGATAACCACATTCATCGCCCATTAATTACTCGAACCTATCACAATCTTTCAAGCCAAATAATAGATTTTAACAATCTTCGTTTCGTATTCCTTGTTCATTTCATTTACTCCTTTCTCTCTCAATATATAGTATATATATACACACACACACACACACACACACATATATATATATATATATATATATATATATATATATATATATATATATATATATATATGTTCCACAGTTTGTTTCAAGATAATACCTTACCTCGTCAAGGCACTTATTTCAGATACTTATGTAGATCGAATATCAGTGGAAATTTCAGTTCAAAATTTACCTTAAAATAACCGAACTGTGATATCTCTCTCTCTCTCTCTCTCTATATATATATATATATATATATATATATATAAAACACAAGTTGCGATGGCTAAATTGTCGCCATGTTATATTTTTAATTTCGCGCATGCGCGTTGTTTGTTTTTGATTTTGTCGACTGCACAGTATAGTAGGCTCAATTGAGCACCATTTGTGAGAAAAACAGCACCATGGCGCAATTCACTCCGCCAGAAATTTGGAAACGGCATGCTGTACGACTTGGCATTCGTACCGGAAGCTCATATCAGAGTGAATGGGTATCAATCTGAGGACAATACAAGGTACTCGGAAAGAATTGGATGAGTCTAATGGTGATTACGAAGATGCTTGGAGTGATCACTAGTGATGGTGACGTTATATCTCCATTCATCTTCCCACAGTGCCTCGGACTAACACGGAGGCCTACATCAATTGCCTTTAGGAGGTAGTGCTCTCCTGGTTCAAAAGAGTGGCTGCTGGGAGACCCTATGTATAGCAACAAAACTCTTCACCATGCCACACAAGTAGAAGAACCCAGTCATGGCTGTCAGACAATTTCTACGACCACATCACCCCTCATATCTGGCCACTTTATTCTCCAGACTGCAACCCCCTTGATTATCATATGTAGGGTGCAGTTGAACGAGAGACCATCAAAACTTCTTGTAACAGCAAAGATGAACTGAAGGCAAGAATTATGGCAGCATTGACTACCTTAAATAAGGAGATCGTTCAGAAAAGTTGCAGGAGATTCAGAAGTTGCCTGGAGGCCATGGTTGAAGCCAATGGCGATTTTATTAAATAAATTTACTACACACACAACACACCCCAATTCTGAGACATGGGAAACCGTTGCTGTAATTCCGCTTTCTTGGCATAGGATCATCCGAAGCGGGGCGAGATTTTCGAGTCCAGCCGCAACATGAAATTTGCTGTCAGAAGAAAGCCGCATCCCCTACTCACACTCGTCTGTAACTCCTGCTCACGACACTTCAGGAGTAGGCTGGGACTTCACAGCCATCTCCGCCAGCATCACCAAAGGAAATAAGGAGAGAGGATGCTGATGCCGATGCTCGAATGTGAGTTGGTGCTGACGACGATATAGAATAAACAAGAGTAAATAATAAACTCATGAGGGCAGTCAAAAAGAAAAAAAACAATCTATTTTGGATAATGCGTACATATATACTATATTAATAGGGGAAGAGTTGTTAATATCGGAAAGAGAGCTTTTATAGATATGTAGATTGTTCTAGTTCCACTGACCCAGTGAATAAAAGCGTTGGTTAAAGTTCCGAGTTCAATACCTGGCTACAGCAGAGGTGAACAGAAACTTGGAGAGTTGAGTTAAAGGGAAATAGCAGTGGAATATTCGGAAGAGGCATGGCAAGTGCAACTAGAACAATCTACCTCGGTGGACGAAATAAAGGGTTCGGTCCGAAATTCCAAACACTTGAGGAAAGCTGGATCATACAACGGTCGAAACGTCGAGAATATGGCAATAAAGATGAAGGCAACAGCCCGAAACAATGTAAATAGTGTAAATAATTACAATACCTCATCTCAAAGCTATAGACATATACTGAAGTCGATGTTTCTACAATAAATTGGTATAAATCAATCGA